TCAGTCTGTACCTTACACCAGGCTGTAGTTGTCAGATAAATGCGTTAATCTACTCTACAAGGGACCGGCAACACAAACGCTGATGATCACATTCAGCCTCCATGACTTTGACCCTTAATATAATTTAATCACCTGAGTTATAAAAAAACAAAATCACCTTTGCACAGCTATCATGAACTCGAAAACTGTTCATAGAGAACAAAATGTATTTTTGCAGTTTTCAAACTCTGTCCGCTCTTTGGCTACTCAGGTTAAACATGATACATAAGTCACTTAGATACCTTCAAAAAGTTATTGTATGTTATTTTTATTTGTTCCTAAGTAAATCAGTTTGGCTGAGATAAGTTATAGTTCTCACACAGCTGAATAAACATCAAACAGAAAACTGATTAAACAGAAGTGTGAGATGGTAGAGTGAATGTGAGTGTGAATGGTTGTCTGTCCCTGTGTGTTGGCTCTGCGACAGACTGGCGACCTGTCCAGGGTGTACCCCGCCTTTGCCCTATGACAGCTGGGATAGGCTCCAGCGCTTCCCGCGACCCTGAAAAGGATAAGCGGAAGCGAATGGATGAATGGATGGATGGATGGATGGATGGATGGATGGATGGATGGATGGTGAGATGGTAGAGAATTTACTCCAATGTCCTGTTATATTTTACGGAGCAAGGAGTAGACGGCAGAGTTTATTAAACTCCATTGAGACAGCTGGTGACGCAAATCTGAAGGCTAGACCGTCCCATTTCACAGCCTCGCACTTCCGGCCTTCGCGGTGTACGTGAGCCGAAGGATGCAGCCCCTGAATTGAGATACAGCCTATGGGTGCTCACTCATTTGTGGAGCCATCCTGTAGTGGACATTAGCGGAAATGCAGTTTTTGGTACCTCCCCATAGGTTGCTAACTGTTTAGCAGTGCTTTAACTGCTTTTGTGACCCCTCAGTCTGATCACTGTGGAGTGTCATGATATCATGATTATAATCCAGATGTGTGTCTTTTTGAACCCAGAACGGCTGCAGACAGATGTTTTTGAGGAGCACACCCACAGAGAAGACTTCATTGCAAAGGTGAGAGGACACACACACACACAC